TTTGAGGAACTTTTAAATGTTGACAAAGAAACGGTGGTAATTTCATGCACTGGCCAGGGAGGTAAACCATCTTTTAGGAGTGAAGAAGAGCAGGATGCGAGTGTGGGGGAAGTGCGTGAGGCATTACGTAGAATGCAAGGGGGTAAAGCAGCTGGAACTGCCGGGATCATGACAAATGTTAAAAGCGGGTGGGGATATAGTGTTGGAGTGTTTTTTTTTTTTCCAACAAGTCAGCCGTCTCCCACCGAGGCAGGGCGACCCAAAATGAAACAAAATCCCCAAAAAGAATTTTTTTTTTTCCAACAAGTCGGCCATCTCCCACCGAGGCAGGGTGACCCAAAAAAGAAAGAAAATCCCCAAAAAGAAAATACTTTCATCATCATTCAACACTTTCACCACACTCACACATATCACTGTTTTTGCAGAAGTGCTCAGAATACAACAGTTTAGAAGCATACACATATAAAGATACACAACATATCCTTCCAAACTGCCAATATCCCAAATCCCTCCTTTAAAGTGCAGGCATTGTACTTCCCATTTCCAGGACTCAAGTCCGACTATATGGAAATAACCGGTTTCCCTGAATCCCTTCACTAAATATTACCCTGCTCACACTCCAACAGATCGTCAGGTCCCAAGTACCATTCGTCTCCATTCACTCCTATCTAACACGCTCACACACGCTTACTAGAAGTCCAAGCCCCTTGCCCATAAAACCTCCTTTACCCCCTCTCTCCAACCCTTTCGAGGACGACCCCTACCCCTCCTTCCTTCCCCTATAGATTTATATGCTTTTATATTATATACTTTCATCATTCAACACTTTCACCTCACACACATAATCACAGTTTTTGCAGAGGTGCTCAGAACACAACAGTTTAGAAGGGGTTTGGGATATTGGCAGTTTGGAAGGGTATGTTATGTATCTTTATATGTACAGGAAGGCCCCGCTTTACGGCGTTTCACTTTACGGCGTTCCGCTAATACGGACATTTCAAATTATGACCAAAACTCGCTATACGGCTCCCCCCAACTGACTTTCTAATACGGTCACCGTGCCCCACCCTGTTTGTTTACATTCTCCATGAGCTCAGTAAGCACTAAGTCTCTCCATTTTGTCTGGAAACTCCAAAATTAAAAATGTTTTAAAAGTTATTTCAATTTATATATACCTGAAATTTACTATGTATACCTGTACCTAAATAAACTTACTACTTCAGGCATGCAGTGTACACATTAAAATTGGTAGTGTTTTATGTCTCCAGACGTCATATTGTAATGATAATAATAATCATCAGTCATTTAAATGCGTATTTTTACTTTTAAAATACACATTTTTCATTAATCCATCCATGATAATTTTTTCAAAATTAATAAAACACGATGCATAATAAAATAAGATAATACACCCCACAGTAGAATAAATAAACATAAATGTTAGATGTGGTGCAGACCTTGCACAAGGAAGCATTTTTAGAAAATGTGATAATAACAATACTAAACGAGCCCTTTTAAATGTCGTATAATTACGGTTAATATACACTTTTTCATTAACCCCATCCATGATATTTTTTTTCAAAATTATATAATAAACACGATGATAAACATATAAATAAGAAAAAATACACCCCACAGTAGAATAAATAAACATAAATGTGAGATGTGGTAGCAGACGACTTGCCAAGTGACGCCATATTAGAAATGATAATAATAACAATACTCACCGAGTCTCATTAAATGTCGTATATTACGTTAATATACACATTTTCATTAATCCATCCATGATATTTTTTTTTAAATTATATAATAAAACACGATACATAACATAAAAAATGATAAATACACCCCACAAAAGAATAAATAAACATAAATTAAAAATGTGGGAGCCACATAACTTGTACAAGTGACGGCAAGAAAAAACATTTCTTAATCTAACCAAAGAGAAAAATGTGTTATGGGGTAACTGTAGAAAATTTTTCCCTTTTGTAGTATGTAAGTTTTTTCAGGTTACACAAATACAGTTACATAGATTATCATAAAATAAAAAATACGTGTAGAGAACCTAGGATAACCAAAAAAAGTCAGTGTGACTAATTTCAATTTCCTTCACTCAGAGCTCATTTCTTCTTCAAAAAGATTTTTACTGAGGAATGGGAGTGTTTCTTTTTTTATTAATTTACCGTATCAATGTAGACAACCTGTACACAATTAACTTTACACAAACCAGACGTGTACACTTCGTTTGTTTTCAAACTACCTTCCCTGGTTTTGTTTACTAACTCTTTCGGGCCCGCCCCCTTCATTACTCATTCTTTCTCTCCTCATTTATTCGTTTTATCTCATTACTTTATCCTGACCCTACATTTAAGACTACAAATATTTTAAGGTAAGTAATTTAGTGAACTGTATATCATTTTATCGCTCTGGGATGCTTAAATTCATAGAATAGTATGTGTGGGTGGGGTGGGCCTGGTAAGGTAGCTGGCTAATTTCCCTACGTTTCCCACACTTGATTTCTTACAAAAAATACTACTTGTCTCACCCTAGATTAAGACTATAAATATTTTAAGGTAAGTAATGAGTGCACTGTGTGTGTAAATTTTACTTTTTTGTTGTTTTTTGATGCCTGGTTCTATTGCTAACTTTAAAATATGTTAGTGTAAACTTGTTATCTAGTGTTTGTATGCATTTATAAGTGGAAAAAAAAAGGGTGTTCCACTTTACGGCGATTTCCGCTTTACGGCGGTAGCCTGGAACCTAACCTGCCGTATAAGTGGGGCCCTCCTGTATATGCTTCTAAACTGTTGTGTTTTGAGCACCACTGCAAAAACAGTGATTATGTGTGAGTGAGGTGAAAGTGTTGAATGATGAAAGTATTTTCTTTTTGGGGATTTTCTTCTTTTTTGGGTCACCCTGCCTCGGTGGGAGACGGCCGACTAGTTGACAAAAAAAAATAGAAAAAAAAAAAAAAAAAAAAAAAAGAGTACCTCCTCCATAAGCTATGCATGTAGTAAAAGGCAACTAAAATGCCAGGAGCAAGGGCCTGGTAACCTTTTCTGTATAAATTACTAATTTTCTTTTTTCTTAAAAAGTCGGCTGTCTCCCACTGAGGGAGGGTGACCCAAAGAGAAAGAAAATCCCCAAAGAAAATACTTTCTCCATCATTCAACACTTTCACCTCACTCATACATAATCACTCTTTTTGCATAGGTGCCCAGAACACAACAGTTTAGAAGCATATACAGTGGACCCTTGACTAATGCTATTAATCCGTTCCTGAGAGCTCATCGTTAGTCAAAATTATCGTTAGTCAAGTTAATTTTACTCATAAGAAATAATGAAATCAAATTAATCCGTGTAGGACACCCCATAGTATGAAAAAAAATTGTTTTTACCACATGAAATATTAATTTTAATACACACAAACTGAAGAAGACATGCACAGTTACATGACACTTACCTTTATTGAAGATCTGGTGATGATTGATGGGATGGGAGGAGGGGAGAGTGTTGATGGTCTTAGTGTTTAGAAGGGGAATCCCCTTCCATTAGGACTTGAGGTGGCAAGTCCTTTTCTAGGGTTACTTCCCTTCCCTTTAAATCTCTCAAACCAACCTTTGCTGGCCTTAAATTCACTCACATCACCACTAGTTCCTGGCATTTTTTTAATTAAACCGTCATGCAACTTCCTAGCCTTTTCACGTATGATCACTTGAGAGATGCTATCTGTTTTTCGTTTATCCACACCAATAACAGTCTCTCAACATCTTCTATCACTTGCGATCTCAGTTTCGAAAACATAGTTGCACCTTTGGCAAGAACAGCTTCCTTGATTGCCGTTTTCTTGCCCACAATAGTAGCGATGGTTGATTGGGGTTTTGTGTACAACCGGGCCAGCTCGGAGACACGCACTCCACTTTCATACTTAGCGATGATCTTTCTTCATATCCATAGTAATTCTCACCCCTTTTTGCTGTAGAGTTGGCACTAGAAGCTTTCTTGGGGCACATGGTGACTTACTTTGCAGGTGCATCACTAAAAAGGCTGTGATAATATGAAATGTTCCGATTGTATGCTTGGAAGCGATCGCGGTGGCTGGCTGGCTTGTAAACACTGGCCAGAAGTGGACGCGTCTCAGACGGAACGAATAGTGTTGGTCGAGTTTTTTAGCGCTAGTCGAGGCAAAATTTTTGCGTTAAAATGTATCGCTAGTCGGATTTATCGTTAATCGATGCCATCGTTGGTCGAGGGTCCACTGTACGTATAAAGATACAACATATCCCTCCAAACTGCCAATATCCAAAACCCTTCCTTTAAAGTGCAGGAATTGTACTTCCCATTTCCAGGGCTCAAGCCCAGCTATATAAAAATAATTATTTCCCTGAATCCCTTCACTAAATATTACCCTGCTCACACTCCAACAGCTCGTCAGGTCCCAAATACGTACCATTCATCTCCATTCACTCCTATCTAACATGCTCATGCACACTTGCTGGAAGTCCAAGCCCCTTGCGCACAAAACCTCCTTTACCCCCTCCCTCCAGCCTTTTCGAGGACGACCCCTACCCCGCCTTCCTTCCCTTACAGACTTATATGCTCTCCATGTCATTTTACTTTGATCCATTCTCTCTAAATGACCAAACCACCTCACCAACCCCTCTTCAGTCCTCTTGACTAATACTTTTATTAACTCCACACCTTCTCCTAATTTCCACACCCCGAATTTTCTGCATAATATTTGCACCACACACTGCCCTTAGACAGGACATCTCCACTGCAACTAATTACGCCTCCCTTGGGCAACATACAGCATATAATCTAAAACTGATTTAAACAAATTGTGAATGTATTTAGGAAAGTAATCATCACAGAAAACCGGCATGTTCAAGGATAAGAAATGTAACCAACTGAAAAATACTAAAAGCCCATTTAAAGATAAACACTTAAACAGTCAGATGTAAATTTCCATTACAAACAAACTGAGGCACAGGAATTACCTTGAAACTTGCATTCTTGGTCACAACATGAGGAAATAAGGCTTGGTCACCTAAATCAGCATGATGTATCTCATATGCAATGCCCTGATGCTCTCCATTTACTGTGAAAGACATAACAATAGGCTCTGCTTCCAAATCCAAAAAACAACCAACAACATCACCCTTTCCAAATTGTTTTCCATAGTCCTGAAATAGAAATGTGAGCTTATCAGTCATGTACATAATTGAATTTGAAAAACTCCAATTAAAAACTTATGTAAGGCCACATTTATGAGACAGAGAGAGTAAATATGACAATTCTTTTATATGCAAAGCATAATAAATTTGAACTAATAAACAGCATAACATATCTAGGAAAGACATGAACATTATAGTTAACTACAGTTAAAAGACTATACTAGAGACACCCCCCCCCCCAACCCACAAAATATCCTATCTTTTCATCTATGTTGTTTAAGTATTCTGTCATTAGATGATAATTTAAAAAATAACATTGGCTTATCAATAATTAATTTAACAAGCCCCTATACAGTTAACTTACATCCTGCACAAATAATAATTGACCCTCTGACTGTGATAGATAGTGATAATACCTTGAACCTTAAATTAGTTGATGCCTTTCCTGTACCTCCATAACCATAACTTAGTGGATCTTCACCAAGGGTTAGTCCAGCATCATTGACAGACCAACCGACACGTAGGACATGGGGATGCTGTTCCTCTTCTTCTAGTTGTGGTACAGGCAAATAATCTTCAACTTTTGCCTCATAGAACACACGACCATGAGTGAATCCATAGGTTGCACGAACACCGTGCCATACGTAGCCAAATCCTTGCATGGTCAGTGGCTGAGCACTCAAATAGTCTTCCTTGCTAATTATAACACTTAAATCAGAATTATCTGAAAACAGAAGAAAACTCATATGGGTGTGTATACATACCCATGTACATGCATGTGTAGTGTGGTCAAAGTGTAAGGAGAAGCAGCAATTCTACCACTGTGTAAAACAATTATAGGTTTCCATTTCACACTCATTTGGCACTCTCCTGGGTGGTTGCTATCTACCAACCTACTACTATAAGCTTGCTTATATTTAAAATTAAACAGAAGATTTCTAACCCAGGATATTATCTTATTTAATAAAGATTTAAAAGTTTTTATCAGCCACAATTCAGATTTCCCATCTATATTTTCAGTTAATATTCAATAATTTGTATTTGAACTACAGTATTTTCAACTTTATCATTACCTTGTACTAGACTCACAGGCATAAAGAATTCCACAAACATACATTCTCCTTCATACTGAGTGGTTTTAATCCTTGTCTAACTTTCCCCCAAAAAATGCTATGCATAAGGGCTTTCAAATTATATTTAATTATATTTAATTGAGCTATGTGTAGAAAGAGATTTGGTAATAAGTAATACATATTTTATGAAAAAGAGGATAAATAAATATACAAGGTATGACGTAGCACGTAATGAAAGTAGTTTATTAGATTATGTATTGGTGGATAAAAGGTTGATGGGTAGGCTCCAGGATGTACATGTTTATAGAGGGGCAACTGATATATCGGATCATTATTTAGTTGTAGCTACAGTTAGAGTAAGAGGTAGATGGGAAAAGAGGAAGGTGGCAACAACAAGTAAGAGGGAGGTGAAAGTGTATAAACTAAGGGAGGAGGAAGTTCGGGTGAGATATAAGCGACTATTGGCAGAAAGGTGGGCTAGTGCAAAGATGAGTAGTGGGGGGGTTGAAGAGGGTTGGAATAGTTTTAAAAATGCAGTATTAGAATGTGGGGCAGAAGTTTGTGGTTATAGGAGGGTGGGTGCAGGAGGAAAGAGGAGTGATTGGTGGAATGAAGTAAAGGGTGTGATAAAAGAGAAAAAGGTAGCTTATGAGAGGTTTTTTACAAAGCAGAAGTGTTATAAGAAGAGCAGAGTATATGGAGAGCAAAAGAAAGGTGAAGAGAGTGGTGAGAGAGTGCAAAGGGAGAGCAGATGATAGAGTGGGAGAGGCACTGTCAAGAAATTTTAATGAAAATAAGAAAAAATTTTGGAGTGAGTTAAACAAGTTAAGAAAGCCTAGGGAAAGTATGGATTTGTCAGTTAAAAACAGAGTAGGGGAGTTAGTAGATGGGGAGATGGAGGTATTAGGTAGATGGCGAGAATATTTTGAGGAACTTTTAAATGTTAAGGAAGAAAGAGAGGCGGTAATTTCATGCACTGGTCAGGGAGGTATACCATCTTTTAGGAGTGAAGAAGAGCAGAATGTAAGTGTGGGGGAGGTACGTGAGGCATTACGTAGAATGAAAGGGGGTTGGTAAAGCAGTTGGAACTGATGGGATCATGATAGAAATGTTAAAAGCAGGGGGAGACATAGTGTTGGAGTGGTTGGTACTTTTGTTTAATAAATGTATAAAAGAGGGGAAGGTACCTAGGGATTGGCAGAGAGCATGTATAGTCCTTTTATATAAAGGGAAAGGGGACAAAAGAGATTGTAAAAATTATAGAGGAATAAGTTTACTGAGTATACCAGGAAAAGTGTACGGTAGGGTTATAATTGAAAGAATTAGAGGTAAGACAGAATGTAGGATTGCGGATGAACAAGGAGGTTTCAGAGTGGGTAGGGGATGTGTAGATCAAGTGTTTACATTGAAGCATATAAGTGAACAGTATTTAGATAAAGGTAGGGAAGTTTTTATTGCATTTATGGATTTAGAAAAGGCATATGATAGAGTGGATAGAGGAGCAATGTGGCGGATGTTGCAAGTATATGGAATAGGTGGTAAGTTATTAAATGCTGTAAAGAGTTTTTATGAGGATAGTGAGGCTCAGGTTAGGGTGTGTAGAAGAGAGGGAGACTACTTCCTGGTAAAAGTAGGTCTTAGACAGGGATGTGTAATGTCACCATGGTTATTTAATACAGTGGACCCCCGGTTCGCGATGCTATCGGCATCCGATAAATCAGGTAACCGATGCATTATATCGCAGAAAATTTGCCTCGCTTCCCAATACAAACCCCGGTATGCAAAGTGGTTCATATGAGACGTGTCCATGTGTGGCCTGAACTGCCCCATGTGTGCCAGCGTTTATAAGCCAGCCAGTGTGCGCGCATCTAAGGATACATTCGGTACATTCCATATTATCACTGTTTTTGGTGCCTGTTTTTGCAAAGTAAGTAACCATGGGCCCCAAGAAAGCTCCCAGTGCCAACCCTTTGAGACCAAGGGTGCTAATGACTGTTGAAATGAAGAAAGAGATAATTGCAAAGTACGAAAGTGGAGTGCGAGTGTCGGAGCTGGTCAGGTTGTATAGTAAACCCCAATCAACCATCTCTACTATAGTGAGCAAGAAAAAGGCAATCAAGGAAGCTGTTCTTACAAAAGGTGCAACTGTGATTACAAAACAGCGACCGCAAGTGTTAGAAAATGTTGAGAGACTGTTATTGGTGTGGATAAATGAAAAACATAGCAAGAGACAGCATCTCTCAAGCAATCATTTGTGAAAAGGCTAGGCAGTTGCATGAGGATTTGGTAAAAAAACTGCCTGCAACTAGTGGTGATGCGAGTGAATTTAAGGCCAGCAAAGGTTGGTTTGAAAGATTTAAGAATCATAGTGGCATACATAGTGTGATTAGGCATGGTGAGGCTGCCAGTTATGTTGTGCGACAGAAGTCGAGTGACTCTCCAGCTGGTCCTAGTGGCATTAAAAGAAGAAGAGAAGTAACCCCGGAAAAGGGCTTGCTACCTCAAGTCCTAATGGAGGGGGATTCCCCTTCTAAATGCTAACACCATCCACACTCTCCCCTCCTCCCATCCCATCAATCATCACCAGATCTTCATTAAAGGTAAGTGTCAATTATTCTTTCGTTATTTATTGTTATTTATTAATTTTAGTAAACTTTTCTTTGCAAAAAAATTTAGGGGAAAGTTTTTTTTAACTTTTGGGTGTCTTGGGTTTAATTTTGTTTCTAATTTTTTGGGGAAATTGTTTCGCTTTCCAAATTTTGGTTTGTGAGTTAAAGTATTAGTATCGCGAAGGGGGTTGTATTTTTGGATGGGGGTTGAAAAAGTAAATGCTTGGGTTTCGGGGAGGGGGGGGTTTTAGGGGGTAAAATTCAAATTGGGAAAGAAAGATTTTTGGAAGTTGTTGCATGGGGGATTTAAAGAAAAATTGAAAAGGTTTGGGAGGGATTTGGGAAAGTGTGAAGGTAAAATTTAAAAGGGAAACAAAAAAAAATGGTAAATTATAATGTTTTTAGTAAAAAAAAATTGGGATAAAATTGGGGGGGTAGGAAGAAGATTTTCCCCGTTTTTACTTGGGAAAAGGGACGTGTCCAAATTTTTTGAAAAAAAATTTATTAATTAATTCAAAAAACCGGAAAATTTATAAAATGGTTTGAGTTAAAAGGGGAATCAATGCGTTTTTAAAGGGGGGGTTTGGAATTGGGGTTTGGAGGAATGTTTTATTCAAACGTATATCTTTAAACTTTGTATTTCCCCCCAAAAAAATAAAGTTGTTTTTGGGAAAGGGGAAAAATTGATAAATTTTTTTTCTTTTTGGGGGATTTTCTTTCTTTTTTTTTCCCCCTTGGGGGGAAAACCATTTTTGGAAAAAAAAAAAAAAAAAAAGGTTATCAAAAAGATAGGGGAAAAAGGGGGGTAAAAAAAATTTTTTTTGGGCAAAAAAACGTTTTTGGGGAAGAAGGGAATGTAAAAAAAGTTAGTTAAAACCCTTTTTTTTGAAGCGGGGGGAAATTCACAGGGGGAAAATTTGGGGATAATCCTGTTTAGGGGCATTTTTAAAATTAAGCAGAAATTTTTGGGATGTTTTTAAAAAAGGTGTTTAAATAAATTTAGTCAAGGGCAAAAAGGGGTTGTTAGGGGTTTGTATTTGGGGATTATGGGTGTGACGGAAAGCTAAAATTTTGGGGAAGAAGGGGGAAAAGGGGGTTTTATCCCAAAGGGGTTTTTAAAGGAAAAGGGGGGAAAATTAAAAAGGTTTTGTGGGCGGGGGCTTGGCCCCAGAAAACGTCTACCGTTTAATGATTTAATGGGAAAAGGTCTTGGCCCTGACGATCTGTTGAGTTGAGCATTTTTTAGTAAATTCAAACCTTTTTTTTTTTTTGGGACGGCCGGAAAGGGGGGGTAAAAGCCCCTTTTAACCCCTTTTGTGTTTCCGACTATAAATAGTTTTTAGAGCCAATGTTTCTGACTATTTATAGCACAAATTCTAGGGTTCAAATGGGGCCCAAAAAGGCCTAAAGGGCCCCCTCAGGGGAGAAAAATGGGTCTAGGGGTCGGGGCCCTGTAAAAAAATTGGGCCTAGCGGTGCATTGGAACGCCATGTTGCAGTCCATTTTCCCTGCCTCTCGTAAAAAGTTCCTCACCCCTGGGCGGTTTTTGGGGGTCTTTTGTTCCCCAAGTGATATTTAACAGCGTTTGAAAGTTCAGTGACGGAAATTAAAAGGGTTTTCAATGAGGTTCCCAAAAAAAAAGTGCCCAGGATAATGTAAATGTGAAAAAAACCGGGCCCCCAAAACCCTTCGCCCTCTGGTGCGTCCCGGGCTTGTTATTTCACTTCGCCTGCCAGGCGAAAGAGGAAACTATTTGGTCGTTTTAAACCCCCTGTGATGCAGTGTAGGGATAGTGATTAAAAGTCTTTGAAAGCAGTTCTAGTGACATGAGAGTAAATATTCCCATGAAGCGCCAGTTTTTTCGACGTAGCAGGGGTCGGGGTAGTTTTTTTCATATGTTTTTCCCAAGGGGGGAAGGAGAAAACTCTGGGAGCACATCCGTGCCCAAACACGACTGATATGAAGATGACGTATTGAAACGTGGGTATAAGGTGACAGTGGGGGAGGGGGCGTGGTGGTGTTAGTGAGGGGGGCAGGCCCATGTGGCCCCTCACCGGGCCACGCACTAGCCCGCGGCGATCAGCAGAAAAACCCCAGCCCACCCTCCCCCACACTGCCAAAACCTGCACCCACACAACCCCCCACAGCCACAACCACAATACCAACCCCCCCGGGCCCATTCCAGGACCCCCACCCAGCAAAAACCAAAATGGGATTTGCCAGGAAAACCGGTAAAACGGATTTTTTTTTTTAAAACCCCAGGGACTTTGGGGGAAACCCAACCCTTTGTAATAAAGGAAAATCTTTCCCCCTTGGAACAAGGGGAAGGAACAACTGTGGGAGTTATTTTTTGAAAATAACCCCTGTGAATAGACACGCACCAAACACAAAACGTGTTTTAACCCTTTGGTACTTTTTTTTTTTTTTTTTTTTTTTCAAAATCCCGGCCCCCCAAAGAGGCAGGGGGGCCCAAAAAAAAAAAAAAACATTTTTTTTACATAATCTTTGGGAAAAGGGGTTTATAGCCCATTTTTCCCCAATTATTTTTACAACAGATGGGTTTGAAAATTCAACCCCCCAGGTTTTAGGCTTTTTAAGGTGTCAATTTTTCCCTGAACTGTTGGTTGTTCCCTTTTTTCAGAAAAAAACCGGGCCTGACGAAAGCGACGGGTTTTAATAAGATAGAAATTGTTTATGTACCTGAACAAAAGGGGCCCTGCATGTATTTTTACCCTTGGGAAAGCTTGTTATTATGAGCCCTTGATTTTATTAAAAGGAAGACTCTCTTTCAAGCTATATACCAAAGAAAAGAGGAAAAACGTTTTGGTAAAAAGTATTTGTATGTGTGTTTGCAGAAGTGGTCTTGTTTTAGATATTGTTTTTACATGGCAGTAATCTTTGAGGATACCCGAAGTTATTGGGTTCTCTGGGGGATGTGGTTCGAACAAAGATGGAACCTATCTTGGTAAGGGCTTTTGTTATTTACTGATAAATGGTCCAAACCCCTTACCAGTGATTTCTTGCAAACTTGACAGAGTGGTGGCCCGTGCGTGGTAATCGCAAAAATATGCCAAGGTGACGCTGGCACTCGCAGAGGGGAGGGGGCAAGCCTTTGCTGCCCAATGACCATGGCATTTTCGGGGGCTGACAAAAGTGATGTCACATTTTTGACATAGTTCACCAAAAGAAATGGTACCCCGTGCGGGACAACGAGAGACCCAAAGAACCATTTAAAGCCCGCAGTGTCTGGACACAACCCAATATGCCCCTTAGTGGACAAATTCAGCAGATTGGGGTTTTCAGACGTGTACGCAAGATTATAATGGTTTCAAACTTTTTTTTTCCCTCTTGTTGATATCTCTATGTAAAGCTTATAACATTTACAAGTTGAAGACCCCAACAAAAAACCAAAAATGGTGAATTTTGCCTGTCAGTAAAAAACAAATAAATTTCAAAGTTAAAAGGGGCAATCCTGCAAAAAGACCAGCCCCACAGCGTCATCTCTTTTAGGGGCCGTTTATCACACCCCATACAATGCCCCTACTACTGCCCAAAAAAAATGCTCAGAAGGGGGTTATGTTGTATCATACCCCCAAAACCCCCCAAAAAGCAGAGACACTCGTTTTATGTGTGAGGAGTGTGAAGTGCCCCTCTGCATATCCCATGTTTCAAAGAGTTCACAAGCTGCGCAGTTTTAGGAAGTGGTTAGTGACTGTACATATGTATATATATTAGGAACAAAAGAATAAAATTTTTTTTTTGTTTGTTTGTGTAACAAAGTGTATACACAAACTAATAGTGATAAAGTTTGTTCTGTTTTGTTTGTAAATATGAGTGTATATTTGAAAATGCACTTAAATTTGGGTTTACAGGCCCTAAATTATGGAAAAGAAAAATATTGAAAAAAAAGCAGAAACCTTTGAATTGAGAAATAAAAGAATACCCGGGGGGGGCGGCAGTCGCCGTGTTGCCCTCGCACGTCAATTTGAAATTTTTGGGCCTATATCTCGGGAAGTACTGATGGCAAAAATTTTTTTTTTTGGCTTAAAAAACTGTAAAAAAAATTCCTAACTTTTTCATAAGAAAAAAAAAATTTTTTTTTTTTTGAATATTTTGGGGACATAGAATGACAGTTTACGGGGCCCCGAAACAGCAAGGGTTAAAGGAGGATTTGGGATTGGGAGTTTGGAGGGATTGTTGTGTTTTTATATGTGTATGCTTCTAAATGTTGTATTTGGCACCTCTGAAAGCAGTGTAATGTGGGGAGCGTGGGAAAGGTTGAATGAATGAAAGTATTTTCTTTTTGGGATTTTCTTTCTTTTTTGGGGCACCCTGCCTCGGTGGGGGGCGGCAGATTTTTTAAAAAAAAAAAAAGTAAAAAGTAAATGCTTGAAAACAAAATTTAAAACAATTCACACCAATCAAGTGCAACAACGTCTTGTCCATATCTGGTTCTTTTTCCCCTCGATTTTTCAACTTCTGGCCCCATATCTTTTTGCCTCTGGGGCTTCACGGGGGAAGAAACGTGAGCTCCTTTTTCTCACCTCGCCCTTTTGCTTCGTTTTTTCACTTTCCATTGGGTCCTCTTTCAGTTTTCTTTACTTCTTAAACTCTTCTTTAATTCTTCTTCTAAGCCATTATCTTGCTCGTTTTAACTCTAAAAAATTAAAAGAAAAAAAGATTTTTCAATTTTTACAAAATTAAATTTCAATATGCCAAAAATGTTAAAAGCACGTAAAGAAAAACCCCTTACATTGATAACATGGGTGGTGGGAGAGGGCTGTTATAGCAGACAGTACTTGAGATTCATTTTAATTTTAGGTTTTAGACTATTCCATACCGCCTTACCCCACCTTACTACTATACCTTTTTCTTTCTCTCGTTCCTGTCCTTCCTCCCGCCTTTAACACTGGGTCCCTTCTTTTTTTTTGTTACCTGACTTTGTAAAAGATTCAAGTCGGAATGAAAAGCGCGTAAGCCCTGTCTCCAATGTGAGGGTTTTTGTGTATAAAATTATTGTCCAAGTATTAAAAGTTTTAGGTAGGGGGAGAAAAAAAAGGGTTTTATAATGAATACTAACAAACATTATCTCTTACCAATGTCATCAAATGTGCTTCTTCAAAGCCCCTCTTTGAAGAAGCATTGGAAATCTTTAATTTTCCCTTCCCGGGGGCTCTGGTTCCCCTTTTCTTGACTGCGATACTCTTTATCTTTCTTTGATGGTGGGACGAGCTTTTGCTTTTTTAAAAGGCGAGGCCTGAGCGCAACCATGTTTTTAGCAGGAATTTAGCCTCTGTCTTTAAGGGGAGGCTGAGCTTCTGACAAATTTTTCCCCGGGGTGTTTTGAGCCCCGTTTCTTTTGGCAGGGTGGGCGGATTCTATGTTTCTTCACGAGCTTTTTTTTCAGGTGTGGAAAAAGCCTCGGAACTGTCTTTTTGGTGTGCAAGAGACTCAGGCCCTTTTTTTTGATTTTTCGGGGGAAATCAGGTTTTTTCACCGGCAGGTCGTGCCTCTTGTGATTTCTTTTGGGGTTGGCTGTGCCTCGCAGTTTTTTGTTTTTTTGGCTGAGGCTCTGATTTTGCAGCTTTCTTAGCTTCTTTATATATTTTCCCCAATAACTGGGCCACTCGTTGCCTTAAGGCCCTCTTGTTCTGAGGACAGAGGAAATTATATAATGCTTTATTAATGAAACAGTAAAGGGGCTAAAGCAGGGAAAAATTTAAAAAAAAGCAGTTAAAGAGGGGCTATTTTTGGGGGGTTATTTTTTTTAAAATAAAGGGATACAATTGCATGTTTTAGGCTAAGTGAACTTCGGTTTTTGGGTGCCCCAGTTTTCATACGATTTTAGGTTCAACATTTTTCGTCAAAATTTTTTTTCCATTTTCCCTACATCTGCTCATTTTTCCCAAGTTTAAAAAGGTCCATCCAAACTTTACCGCCTCTGTGATCTGCCATCATTTTCCCCGGGAAACGAGCGCCTACACAAAGCATCCCATGCGTTCGTGACTCAAACTGCCTTTGTTTCTTGTTGAGTATCACCCAGCGCATTCATCCGAAACATTTCGTAATAATCCATTGTTTTTTTATGCATGTTCATTGAGTGCAACTGCTAAATAAGCCACCATGGGACCAAAGAAAGTTCCCTTGGACAAAGAAGGTGATGAACATGATAGAATTCAAAAAAGAACTTAGCAAAGTACGAGAGTGGTGTACACGTGGCCAATCTTTCTAGGATGTACGGGAAGTCCGCATCAACCATCAGTTCCATGCTGGCAAAGAAAAAAGAAATTAAGGAAGCAGATTTTGCGAAAGGGGTAAATGTGTTTGGCCCTAGTGTGAAGAACTACCTCCTGGAAAATCAATTGCCACTCAAGTGCCTCCTGGTAATGGACAATGCTCCTGTGCATCCTCCAGGCTTGAAGACCAATTGTTGGAAGAGTTTAGTTTCATCACAGTGAAGTTCTTGCCCCCCTAATACCACTCATCTCATCCAGCCCATGGACCAGCAGGTCATATCAAACTTCAAAACACTCTACACTAAAACACTGTTTCAAAGGTGCTTTGAAGTGACCTCAGACACTGAATTGACCCTAAGAGAATTCTGGAAGAATCACTTCAATATCCTCAGCTGCATAAGCCTTATAGATAAGGATTGGCAGGGAATGACTTCCTGGATGACGAACTCTGCTTGGAGAAAATTGTGGCCAGAATGTGTCCTCTAGAAGGATTTTGAAGGGTTTGAGGCTGACCCTGAGAACCCTATGCCTCATAGTTTTCTGTAAGTAAAACTATAATTTTTTGTTAATATTTTTGGGAGTCTGGAACAGATTAATTTGATTTACATTATTTCTTATGGGAAATATTGCTTCAGTTTTCGTGTGATTCAGTTTTCATCAGACTTTTTCGAACGGATTTATCACGAAAACCGAGGTTCCACTGTACGTACCTCCGGTCAGCTATTCAAAAATGATAGCTGAAAAGCATGACATTCTTTCAATACTTATTTTATATGTTTATGTCACTGGAGGAGAGATAAACCAAGAGGTATCATACAGGACCTTGGAAAATGGGAAGCAACTAGTCAATTGAAGGAAAAGGACAGAAATTCCAATTCCTCACATCATGGGTGCAACACTTAAGTCAAAGAACTTCCCTATTAGTGTTTTTTTTTTCTTTTAGTAGCCACTGGGTGTGATAAAGCCTATATAACCTGAACTTATAAGAGTATTATGTCATACAAATATCATTAGTATATAGACAAATGTAATTCAAGTCATTACCCTACTTAGTTCAAAAGTAAAGCCATAAAATCTTCATGGAAGGTACCCTGATGCTGGTAAGAATTGAATTTAACCTCTTTCTTGGGATCGACCCTGATTGCTTCTCATTCCCTAAGAGCTGTATGACCCTTACAGACTTAGCACTTCCCTAATTATCAAACTACAGCCACTTCAATTACCTATAACTCCCTATCAATACCACAGGCACTAACAAAACATATACAGCCTCTCCTCACTTAATGATGGAGTTAGGGGACTAAGACCCCATCGGTAAACGATTTCGTCGCTAATTGAAAAATCAGCCTTTACGTCGCTAATTGAGGAATCGCCCCTTACTGACACTTCAAAAGTGTCACCACCCAAGATTAAAACATTCAATTTTATGTTTGCTGGGAAATTTCTTTCAATCTGTTTATTATTAATGGTGATACAACATGAAATGGGTCAATGACTTACTTCCGAGATATTCCAGGAAACGTATGCATAGCTGATTGCTTGGGATTTTTTTTTTTCGAGAAAATTACACTTTTTTCAGTCTTTGCATAGGGTAAGAGTGATTTTTCTAGTTACCCTTCAGGCGTGTAACGTTTTCTGTTATGGTTGCGATCATTTTTTTTTATCCCTCCCGGCCCTCCACTCTTCAACACTTCTCTATATAATGTCAGTTTTTATTAATTTGTGTGTCTTTATCATGCTTCTACATTATTTATCTTATACCTAATATTCTGGAATAAACATGATAGGTAGATAACCTTTACTGATAGTAATATAGTATAATTATACAATATTTTATGGTGCCGTGAACTTATACGTCCATACATCATGGTGAAGTATGAGTTACTGAGAGACATTGCTGGCGCCTTCTCCCTCTCTCTCTCATAAAGCCCCGCACACCCACCAATACCTCTCCACATGTCAGTTTATATTAATTTGGTCATCTTTATCACGCTTCCGCTGGCTAGTTATTATGGCTTGAAATCCTGTCAATGTTTTTGCTGACCCTTTCACAATCTTTATCCTTCTAGACAGTGGGAACAATAGAATGTGCCAGCTTCAAATCATTGGCTATCACTTGCACATTCTTACCAGCTTTATACTCCTTTATAATCTTCATTTTCACCTCAAGATCAAGAGCCATCCTTTGTTTCTTAGCATTTCCTTGAGGAGAAGTCAAGATCTTCCTTTTTGCCAACATCTTATACTATGGGATGCACAATAAAAAGCAAATTTGTACAAATATGTAGTCTTGGAGACAGTGAAAGCTAGCATACTCAGTGGCTGTAGAAAGCAGACTGAGATACTTGACACTCAGACACCACGCTGCATGTTTCCATGACCCAAGTTCTCATATGGCATACAATCCTAATAATAATTTTTTTTTTTTTATTAACACACTGGCCGATTCCCACCAAGGCAGGGTGGCCCGAAAAAGAAAAACTTTCACCATCATTCACTCCATCACTGTCTTGCCAGAAGGGTGCTTTATACTCCAGTTTTTAAACTGCAACATTAACACCCCTCCTTCAGAGTGCAGGCACTGTACTTCCCATCTCCAGAACTCAAGTCTGGCCTGCTGGTTTCCCTGAATCCCTTCATAAATGTTACTTTGCTCACACTTCAACAGCATGTCAAGTATTAAAAACCATTTGTCTCCATTCACTCCTATCAAACACGCTCACGCATGCCCGCTGGAAGTCCAAGCCCCTCGCACACAAAACCTCCTTTACGCCCTCCCTCCAACCTTTCCTAGGCCGACCCCTACCCCGCCTTCCTTCCACTACAGACTGATACACTCTTGAAGTCATTCTGTTTCGCTCCATTCTCTCTACATGTCCGAACCACCTCAACAACCCTTCCTCAGCTCTCTGGACAAAAGTTTCGGTAATCCCGCACCTCCTCCTAACTTCTAAACTATGAATTCTCTGCATAATATTCACACCACACATTGCCCTCAGACATGACATCTCCACTGCCTCCAGCCTTCTCCTCGCTGCAACATTCATCACCCATGCTTCACACCCATATAAGAGCGTAGGTAAAACTATACTCTCATACATTCCCTTCTTTGCCTTCAAGGACAAAGTTCTTTGTCTCGACAGACTCCTAAGTGCACCGCTCACCCTTTTCCCCTCATCAATTCTATGATTCACCTCATCTTTCATAGACCCATCCACTGACACGTCCACTCCCAAATATCTGAATACATTCA